AAACTGCATCTGCAAGAGGCGTGCTGCCCCAACAGTCACGCAGGTTGACCTCGGCGCCTCTTTGGAGCAAGAGCTGGACAACGTCGGTTTGGCCCTAGTAAGCGGCGACGTGGAGGGCGGTGCAGCCGTTGATGTCAGTGAAATCGACATTGGTGCAGGAGTCGAGGAGCTCTTGGATGGCGTCCAAGTCGCCCTTCTGCTGATTGCTGCTATTGTTGTGACACGTGTTCCATGTGTGGAGAAGGATAATTAGAATTGGGTGTGAAATGAAAGTGGGGTTGAGCCTGTACTTGCCTGGGTTTGTGTCTTTTTCCACATTATGCAACTCATTTTCGGGCACCCAAAGGTATAGCTTCCCTCTTTTGCAGATGTACTTAACCTTTGATCTGTATATGTCATCCTTGCTTCCTTTAGCATCAACATTGATGGTATTGAGTTGCCCTTGCCAATTGGAAGACAATATACTCTTGCATTTCTTGGCAAATGTTAAGACGGTTGCCTTATTGGCCTTCATGGGTTCCACAGTATTGCACCCCAAGTGCTCGACGAAATTACTCAGGGAAAGAAAGTGTTCGTTAGAGAGAAAGAAAGACAAGAGGTGAGCTTTGGTCAGGGTTTTTTTGCAGATTTTTCAGATTCACGGTGGAGGTGAAAAAATGAAAGAGAATTGACATAGTTTTTCGTATCGATTCCCACAAACGGCACCAAATGTTGATGCACAAAACTGAAGGTCTTGGAACAACGTAAATCCGACCGTGAATCTGCACATAATGTAAATAACACAAGATGTATCGTGGTTCACCCCAAGGTTTGGGCTACGTCCACGCTGATTATGTATTTATTTGAGGGAGAGGGAGCTTTGAGAGTGAGAGCTTTGAGAGGGGATGAGGAGCCTTAGGAATTGGCCTCTCCCAATTGTGAAGGTGAAGGGTCATTTTATAGAATAAGGACTCATCACTTATTACATATTTGCCCATTCCTTTATCACATAATTACATTTAAGTCCCCCGAGTATTTGTACGAGATCTAAATACGAGACCCTAAATATGGTATAAACAAACTACTTTCACCAAAGCAATATAATTCATAGGGACTCGAAAGCTACCAACTTTTGGTAGACGCAACTGGAGTAATAGATTCTTTGTATCTCTTGACTATGCTACATTTATAAGTACTTTATTTAGTGTACTTTTCTCAAAATGAAAGAGGCATGGGCAGGACGTGTGCGTTCTTGTCCTTGTTACATATTTCTCTTTCAACAGAAGCTTATCAGGTTATATTTTGGGTGTGTGTAGATTTAACTATTGTGATTGGCTCATATTTTGAGCTGGCAACAATGAAGTGATCTGTGTTAGTTTTCGGTGGAAATATCACATGGTGTGGGTTGCATGAAAGTTGCAGACAAGTGCTACAAAGTAAAAGCAAAAGTGGGTTTGCCTTTTGACTTTGGGAACATTATGCAAGAAATGTGATGATGGCTTGGCCTTTATTTAATGCAAGGAAATGCTTGCATTATAAGTGCTTGCTGAGGGATAAGGCTTGCATCAAGGAAGCATCCAAGGAGAGATGGTGAGAGCATTTGGCTCTACCATGGGCACGGGTGAGAGAAATCAAGAGAGCTAAAGTGAAAGGTCTCTGGTGAAAGAACTTTTGGGGTAGAGTGAGGCTATTGGGAAAATTCTATGAGTGGGTGTGCAAGGGATTCGGGATTGGGTTATGTTGATTTAACTCATGTGTACTTGTACTGTTATTCTTATAGTGAAGAGCAATATCTCTCCAGGGACGTAGGTATGTTTTTGCTGAACCTCATAAATTTCTCACTGTCTTTATTTCTTGTATTTTATTTTGTTCAACTGAGTGTGATTTGGTGAGGTTGTAATCTGAATCTCGTTTCCGCACTAACGAACGGGCCAAGGCATAACAATTGGTATCAGAGCATCGTTGGACGCTTTGGTTCGTTGGAGGTCCAGATTTATTGTTCACCATGGAATTTTCAGTTGAGTAGTTTAAAGGGAGAGGCGGTTTTACTCTTGGTAAATGAGAGTAATGGAAGCCTGAAGAAATGGAAGCCGTGTTTAGGGATGCTTGGATCAACTGCAAAAGTTGATGTTGAGGAAGAAGAGAAAGGCCTCTTTCTTTTTACCTCACTTTTAGATTCGTATGAGAACCTTGTGAAACTTTACTGCATGGAAAGATACAGTAAGTTTGGAGCAGGTGCAAGCTTCTTTGGTGTGGAATGATACACAAAAGAGATCATGGATGATTGTGGGCACAAGACTGCTTTAGCTGTTTAAGGTTGGAATCGTGAAAGAAAATTGGAAAGAGGATCTGAGAGAGAGCAGGTTCAGATCCGGTTTCGAAGGCAAGGGTCCACAGTGCTACATGTGCTAGGCCGGGTTGTAGCAAGTTTGTGGTGGAAGACTTCGAGTATGCCCTCTAGGTACTCGAAGCAACACTTCTTCTGGTGATGTTTAGTCTCAAGTATTGCAGGGGTTTTGCAGCAGGTGGAGCTATGAGATTCATAGGTGATGAGATGGTCCTGAAGGAGGAGAAGTGTGAGAAATTTTTGTCTGGCTCGACGAGTGTTGCTGGAAATGGGTGCATTGACAAGTTTCCAGGTTGAAGACAATAAAAGGGGGAAAAGCCTGTTGGAGGAGACGAAGATGTGTCGAGATCCTGTCTGAAGCTAAATGGTGATTTTTTAGTTTGCAGCAGCTGCACATGCATTGGCAGTGACTGAATCAGAACAAGACCAACGAGGTTGATTTAGGGTATGTATGCTAGTACGTAAGGCCAATGGGCTTTGGTGATGGGTGCAAGGATTTTTGCACTGTATATTCGCCAAGGTGGAGATTGTTGTGATTGGCTTATATTTTGAGCTAGCAACAATGAAATGACTTGTGTTTGTTTTCGGTGGAAATATCACATGGTGTGGGTTGCATGAAAGGTGCAGACAAGTGCTGCAAAGTAAAAGCAAAAGTGGGTTTGCCTTTTGACTTTGGGAACATTATGCAAGAAATGTGATGATGACTTGGCCTTTATTTAATGCAAGGAAATGCTTGCATTATGAGTGCTTACCGAGGGAGAAGGCTTGCATCAGGGAAGCATCCAAGGAGATGGTGAGAGCATTTGGCTCTACCATGGGCACATGTGAGAGAAATCAAGAGAGCTAGAGTGAAAGGTCTCTGGTGAAAGAACTCTTGGGGTAGAGTGAGGCTCTTGGGAAAATTCTATGAGTGGGTGTGTAAGGGATTCGAGATTGGGTTATGTTGATTTAACTTATGTGTACTTGTACTGTTATTCTCATAGTGAAGAGCAATGTCTCTTCGGGGACGTAGGCATGTTTTTGTCGAACCTCGTAAATTTCTCAGTGTCTTTATTTCTTGTATTTTATTATGTTCAACTGAGTATGATTTGATGAGGTTGTAATCTGAATCTCGTTTTCGCACTAACGAACGGACCAAGACACAACATTAACATGGTGATCAAATTTAATTATTCGATTTTCCTTAAGTTTGAAATTATTGTTGACAGGTAGTGAAAATAGCTAATTTTGGAACCGCGAGAGTACATGCACAACATGGTGTTATGACTGCAGAAAATGGCACATGTCGCTCCCGAGATCCGTGTTACTGTGTTCCCTAGAAATTAACCATCTCATTTGCTTCACTAGAATTAAGCATCTGGATACCACACTAGTGTCTAACACATGATTGCTTTCTGTTGATCAAGGAAGCTTATAAAGCATAGGACATACGATCATAAAGCTCATGTTTTTAGCTTGAGGGTTGTTCTCTCGTCCATCCTGTGTCCATGTTTCGTGACTGAAATGTTAGCTTCCCGACGAGAACTTAACTACGTTACAAGCAGCAGTTGGCGTAGTCCAGAAGGTATTCGTGTACTTTTTTTCCAGCAATATAAGTCATTCTTTGATCTTTATCCTTGATGGAATTGAATTGAGCTTCCTTTTCCTGATGAGAAGTGTTATTTAGTAGCTGGTAGCACGGTACGAGTTGTGCCGTGAATTAAGCTGTCGGTAAATAGGGCCAGAAGGGTACAGGGAAAAAGATCTAACACTCGTCTTTATTCTTCCTTCCCAAGTATGCAATTCTGAAAGTCTACAATTCCGGTACGCTTAAAGGTTGCAAAGGGAAGCGAGATAGACGAAAGGGAAAGTCAGCTAAAGTAGTACCCAATGAGGAGAAATTCTTGAGCAGACCGGTGACGTGACATGACTCTATATGTGTTCCGTTGGGTTTTGTTTTGTTAAACTAAATATTCAAACTTTTCATTCATAATCGTATTCAAGTTGGTTAAGAAAATGTATTTCATCTACTAGATTAAGTTTGAATTCTCGGAGCATAATATAGATTATAATAAATCAAACTAGATTATCGTTCGAATAAAAACAAAAAAATCTTCAACTTGATGAACAAAGATTCTCTCCCGAAAATTTGACAGCCCACGAAAACATATATTCCCAAGTCGCAGTTACTATAACGGCGTGTCGGGAATCTGATGTCCTCCACCCTTCCTTTTCATCTCTCGGATATTTAATCGTTTACTTTTCTACAAAACATGGACGACGACGAGCCAAAAATATAATAATTATAATAATTGACAAGATGATGAGAGAGACGTATCCAGAACGGGAGTGATTTTTCAATGTGATCGTCGAAATGATACGTTACGTGTTGCTATATAAATTGTGACATATGTATGTTAAAAAATTAATAACTTAAAATATAAAAATTTTCATCACTTACAAAAAAAAAAAACACATGATATACCTTCATTTTTCCCATCACAACTAAAAATTTCTACCACAACACGGTAACGGAGACTTCCTTTAGACCCTGGCCTTTTGGTTTTGGGAATAATTTTTTAAACGTTTCAGAAAGCCGCTTTATATTCGACAATGACGGTCTCACGTTGCTTCTCTTTCGCTTTTACCCAAACGGACAAATGAATCACAAGCAATTTCTATAAATTCATTGCTTAACTTGGAAGGTTTGAGAAAAAGTATCCGTCTTCAACTACATAAGTCACCACTTTCCTTGCCCTGCAGTCTGCAGAAGCAGCAACCGAACTCACCAACAAGAAGAAGAAGATCAAATGGCAACGAGGGAAGGAGAAGTGGTAGTCAAGATCGACGATAGCGACGGTTCTTGTAGCACAGAAACAGACACTGCACCGTATAACGGAGAACCAGCTCCAAGGACACCAGTAATTCAGGGCTCCCCAGAAAAACTGACTGAATCTTTCCGACGGAGGAGCAAAGAGCTTCCGGAAGCTCCCTCCAGCTCCGACGGAGCTGAGGCTGTCATCCAATGCAGCTCCAACGCCTCCTTCTCCCGAAGCCCCTGGAAACCCCCCATGAGCAAGACAAAGTCCAGGCTTCTCGACCTACCAGAGGAAGTGTCTCTAAAATCCGACAGAACGGCGGCTTCCGGACGATCGCATGGAAAAGACGACGACGCTTCGGCTTTCGACGACCCCGACCTTGAAGACATTCCAGAGGAGTACAGGAAGTGGAAGTTCAGCGCGCTCACGTTGCTTCAGTGGGTGAGTCTTGTTATTGTTATAGCTGCTTTGGTTTGCAATCTTTGGATTCCGATTTTAAAGAAGCAAACTTTGTGGGATCTTCCGCTGTGGAAGTGGGAAATTCTGGTTCTGGCATTGATTTGTGGTCGTTTGGTTTCTGGTTGGGGAATTCGGGTGGTTGTGTTCTTCGTAGAGCGAAATTTCTTGTTGCGAAAACGGGTTTTGTATTTCGTTTATGGATTAAGGAAATCGGTGCAGAATTGTCTCTGGTTGGGTTTGGTCTTGTTGGCGTGGCACTTGATATTTGATAAGAAGGTGCAGGAGAAGACCAAGAGTAGGATTTTGCCTTATGTGACCAAGATTCTTGTGTGTTTTCTGGTTGGGACATTGATTTGGCTGCTGAAGACGATACTTGTTAAGGTTCTTGCCTTGTCTTTCCATGTCAACGCATTTTTCGATCGAATTCAGGAGGCTTTGTTCAATCAGTATGTGTTGGAGACACTTTCAGGCCCCCCTATGTTTGAAAGGCGACCGTCACTAGAAGAGGAAATAGCCGCGGCAGCTGAGATTCAGGAGTTTCAGAAAGCGGGGGCTGCTATGCCTCGTGATCTCAGGGCAACTCTTCTTCACGGGGCAAGGAGTGGGAGAGTTGTAGGGAGTGGACACCAAAATAGCCCCAGAGTAGGGAAGAGTCCCACGGTTTCTAGGCCAGCATCTGGGAAGCAAGATGAAGGCATCCCGGTTGATCACTTGCATAAGCTAAACCAAAAGAATGTGTCGGCTTGGAATATGAGAAAAATGGTAAACATCATCCGGCACGGGGCCTTAACCACTCTAGATGAACAGATACTGGACTCTGATATGGGAGACAACTCTTCTTTGATGATTACAACTGAATCTCAAGCAAAAGATGCAGCCAGGAAGATATTTTTCAGAGTAGCCAAGCCGGGGTCTCCGTAAGTTTACATAATTTATTTTACCATTAGATATTAATTTGGTTTGATCTTCATCTGCATGTGAGCTACACTATGTTAAATGACCTAATGGTTACCTGCTCAGAAGTACTTTGTATGGGAGTAGTCTACAGGAGTTACCTTCAACATGTGCTAATGCTTTTGTTGTGACAGATACATTTACCTCAAGGATTTGATGCAGTTTTTGGTTAAAGATGAAGCTTTAAAGACATTTCGTCTCTTTGGTGCAGCAAGTGAAGATGACAAAATCAGCAAGACCGCTCTTAGGAATTGGGTGGTAATAATGCCTTTTAAGTTGTGCTTTCTGTCATCGACGAACCATTTATTGAAGAATGAATGTGTTTTTCTCGTTTCTTTTAGGTCAATGCATTTAAAGACAGAAGAGCACTAGCATTTTCTTTGAACGATACAAAAACAGCTGTGGATGAACTCCATAACATTTTAAACGTCCTTGTAACTATCGTCATTTTGATAATCTGGCTTATTATACTTGATGTTCATTTCACCCACTTCCTTCTCTTAATGAGCTCCCAGCTTCTTTTGGTTGTATTTATCTTCGGGAACACATGCAAGACTGTTTTTGAAGCAATCATCTTTCTATTTGTAATGCACCCGTTTGATGTGGGTGATCGTTGTGAAGTGGATGGAGTCCAGGTGAAGATTTGAATCAGAAGTTATGTTTATATGTAGTGTGTATTACCTTAGGATCTGTGTTTATACCGATATATCTAATTGCTTGATGTTTTTTTGGGTTTCAGATGGTAGTTGAAGAAATGAATATATTAACTACGGTCTTTCTGAAGTTTGATAACCACAAGATCATATACCCTAACAGTGTTCTTGCTACCAAGGCAATTGCTAACTATCGTCGTAGTCCTGACATGGGCGATGCTATTGATTTTTGTGTGCATATTTCAACTCCTTTGGAGAGGGTGGCTACTATGAAAGGAAGAATACAGAGGTATACCTTCAAAAGAAATATTTACATTTTGGAAACAACACATGTACACATGTTAGAAAGTATGAGTATATGCCTTTCGGGTTTTGCTACGGAGGAATCAGACCCCTTGTATGATTATCAACTGCTTAACATGTTACACAGGTATATTGAAGACAAGAAGGACCACTGGTACGACGCTCCAATGTTGATCATGAGGGATGTGGAGGAGTTGAACAAACTGAAGATATCGGTATGGCTGACACACAAGATGAACCATCAGGACATGCTGGAGAGATGGCACAGGAGGAGCCTTTTGATCGAAGAGATGATCAAAGTGTTCAGAGAGCTAGATATCGAGTACCGGTTACTGCCTCTCGATGTCAACATCCGAGCCATGCCAAGTTCAACGTCCAACAAGTTTCCTTCAAATTGAACAACTTGTGTCCCGGCACCAGCAAACTAACACTCTTCAACTTGGACTCTGGTAGGACTGGCATGACGAATGAGGGTTCTTTGGAACATAACGTTTGATGCTGAGATATAACAGCAGAGCAGATGCTTGTAGTTCCAGACTAACATCTGAAATTATGCATAGATTATAGATAAAGTGCCAATCTCTCTGGTACTAAAAAGCTAATAACTTAAAAAATAAAATTTCTCATCACTTGTATAAAAACAAATGATATATCATCTGTGTTTTGATCACAATGAAAAATTTCTCACTCTAATTGTAAAGTGTATTGTTTTTGAACTTGGGAAGGGTGCCGGGTACACCAAGTAGTTGGATACTTGAAATAAAAAAACTTCCACCACTTATATTATCAATCTTGATGTGTTGGCCGTGTTCCCAAACACTGAAAAATATATCTTATATACTAATATCATTTTGTTTCCTAATTCTATTTGTTTATTAATATATGGCGGTAAAATTGAAAAGTGTGATTTTCTTATTAAAATCGGAACAAGTACTTCATAATGAATTATCAATTTGTTTAATTCATATAAATGATTAAATAATATTTAAATAGAATGAATTCTTTCCAAAATAATGATGTTTATATGACAAGTATGAATAGTTTCAGTCATGATTTTTATGCGGTAAAAAAAGTTATAAATAGGTAAAAGTTAGACAGATAACCTTTGTTAGGGATAAGGGCGCAGCGGTGCAAAATATCACACTGTCCTGTTTCTTAACTCTAACACAAAATGATTGCAGATAAAAGAGAATAGGAAGGGTACTTATATGGACCATATATATATATTTTTTTTTTTTTTTTTTTTTTTTTACTTTTATTTTGCTAAATGTACCCATGCTAATTATATGTACCCATTCATGTAAAACTTTTTAATGTTAAAATGTACTCATTCTTAAATATACCAATTTGTTATAAGTAAAATGTACCCATTTTTTATATAAAATCTATTCAATTTTTTTCTAATCCATTTTTAAACTTATATGGGTACATTATTTTTTCTTTGATTTTAAAATGTATCCATGTCAAGTTTAATCCAAGAAATTTACTAATGTTGTTAAGCCTAATATCTTTTTTTTTTTGGTCATTTTGAAGAATGTACCCAAGTTTTGATACAATAATTTTTTTGGACCCATGTTTATATATATATACACACACACAATAGTATATTTCTATTTGAATATTTTTAATCCCACAAATTATGGTTTTTTATTTAAAATCTCATTTATATAAACAACTAAAATTTCTAATTTTTAATTTAAAAAATATAGTAACGTACATAAAAATAAATTATCACATTAATTTCAGGGACCTCGATAAAAAATTAAAAGGGTGTGCTATCCACACACCCCTTTTTACTTCTCACACACCCCTTATTAATTTTTGTCCTTTAATCTTCTTCAATTCATCCGATCCGACGGCCGAAAACCAAAAAGATGTGGGAGAAGTAGAAAGGGGTGTGTGGATATCACATCCCCATTAAAAACCAACAAGGTTTCAATCAAAGAATATTCATAGCTAAAGACCGCATCCAAAGTCTCTCTAAAAAAAACTTCCACCACTATATATCACACTGGATATACGGGTTATGTTCTCGACACACTAAAAAAATATCTCTTATATACTGAGAGCATTTTGTTTCGTAATTCTATTTGTTTATTAATACATGGCGGTAAAATTGAAAAGTGTGATTTTCTAATTAAAATCGTAACAAGTATTTCATAACGAACAGTCCTTTTCGTCGAAAGAAAGAAAAGATTCGGAAACCGTGGGAAAATGCTGTGATGGCGGTATCACATTGCCAGCCTGTCGTCGATTTTTCTCAAAGAAAGGACTAAAAAAATAGTGGGGAAAGTATAAAGTAACCCTAGTTTTGTCTTTTGTGGTCTTAGCAGGTGCAGCCAAACCCAAATACAAGTGAACAGGTGTCCAATTATAATTATAATTTAATTTCAATTTCAATTTCAATTTTAACTATTGGACACGTGTCCGCTGATTATCGGCAAACATTCCAAACTTTTATTGCACTGCAGTTCCTTAATTGGAAGGTGATAAGAAAATCTTGAGCTACAACTACCTCTACCAGAGCAGCAGCAGTAGTAGGAGCAATCGTATCAAGAAGAAGAAGAAGAGGATTATCAAATGGCAGCGAGGGAAGGACAAGTTCTACCCAAGATCGACGGCGGTGATGCTTCTTCCAGCAAAGATACAGAGACTGCACCAAATGTCGACGGAGAAGCAGCTCCAAGGTCGCCAATAATTCACGGCTCCCCAGAGAACCCTACTGAATCAGTCCAACGGAGAAGCAGAGATCTGCCGGGAGCTTCCTCCAGCCCGGGCGGAGCTCCCGAGATTGTCCGATGCAGCCCCAATGCCTCCCCCCGAAGCTCCTGGAAACCGCCGGTGAGCAAGACCAAGTCCAGGCTGTTCGACCCACCACCTGAGGAACCGTGTGTGAAATCGGACAGAGTTGCGGGCTCCGGACGAACTCCGCGGAGAGATGACGACGCTTCGGCTTTCGATGACGACGACCTCGAAGACATTCCAGATGAGTATAAGAAGATCAAGTTCGATGCCCTCACATTGGTTCAGTGGGTGAGTCTTGTTATCGTTATAGCTGCTTTAGTTTGCAATCTATGGATTCCAGTAATAAGGAAGAAAACTTTGTGGAATCTTCCGCTGTGGAAGTGGGAAATTCTGGTTCTGGCGTTGATTTGTGGTCGTTTGGTTTCGGGTTGGGGAATTCGGGTGATTGTGTTCCTTGTAGAGCGAAATTTCTTGTTGCGAAAACGGGTTTTGTATTTCGTATACGGTTTAAGGAGATCTGTTCAGAATTGTCTGTGGTTAGGATTGGTTTTGTTGGTATGGCGCTTGATTTTTGATAAGAAGGTGGAGGAGAAGACCAAGCATAGGATTTTGCCTTATGTGACCAAGATTTTGGTATGTTTTCTTTTTATGACATTGATTTGGCTGCTGAAGACAATACTTGTTAAGGTTCTTGCCTTGTATTTCCATGTCAACGCCTTTTTCGACCGGATTCAGGAGGCTTTGTTCACTCAGTATGTGTTTGAGACGCTATCTGGTCCCCCTATGTTTGAAAGGCAACACACACGGGAAGAGGAAAAGGCCGCGGCAGCTGAGATTAGGGAGTTTCAGAAGGCCGGGGTTGCTATGCCTCGTGATCTCAGGGCAACTCTTTTTCCGAGGACAAGGAGTGGGAGAGTTGTAGGGAGTGGAAGCCATAATAGCCCCAGAGTAGGGAAGAGTCCCGCGGTTTCTAGGCCAATGTCTGAGAGCCAAGATGAGGAAATCCCGGTTGATCACTTGCAAAAGCTAAATCAGAAGAATGTGTCGGCCTGGAGTATGAGGAGGATGGTAAACATCATACGGCACGGATCCTTAACCACTCTAGATGAACAAATACTGAACTCCAATGTGGGAGACGAGTCTTCTTTGAAGATTACAACTGAATGTCAAGCAAAAGAGGCAGCCAGGAAGATATTCATGAGAGTAGCCAAGCCAGGGTTCCCGTAAGTTTATTCAATTCTTTTCATCATTCGATATTGATATTGTTTGATCTTCCTCTACATGTAAGTTGCACTATGTTTAATTACTGAATGGTTTGATGAGTGCTTTATTCTGTATTTTAGTGTTATCTCTGTGTTAAGTGTTTGATTACATGCTCAGATGTTAAGCTCTATCCTTCCGTTAAAAACATGTAGGGAAGTACTTTTTTGGACTTACCTAGAACGTGTTGTGCTAATGCATTTTGTTGTGACAGACACATTTGCCTGGAGGATTTGATGCGGTTTATGAATAAAGATGAAGCTTTGAAGACGCTTCATCTCTTTGGTGCAGCAAGTGAACATGACAAAATCGGGAAGACCGCTCTTAAAAATTGGGTGGTAATAATGCCTTTTTAACACTTTTACCTTTGGTTCTTGTTTGTTTTTGCTGTTAATCAGCTAGTAAAGTCTATGCATGTCCAAATCTTGGAGAAGCAAGAGGTAAGATATGCTTTCTGCCGTCGATGAACCATTAATTGAAGGATGGATGTGTTTTTCTCATTTCTTGTAGGTCAATGCATTTAAAGAAAGAAGAGCACTAGCATTGTCTTTGACTGATACAAAAACAGCTGTGGACGAACTCCATAAAATTATAAATGTCCTTGTATCTATTGTCATTGTGATAATCTGGCTAATTATTCTTGGGGTTCATGTCAGCCACTACCTTCTCTTAATAAGCTCCCAGCTTCTTTTGCTTGCATTCATCTTTGGGAACACATGTAAGATGGTTTTTGAAGCAATCATCTTTCTATTTGTAAGGCATCCGTTTGATGTGGGTGATCGCTGTGAAGTGGATGGAGTCCAGGTGAAAATTTGAGTCGGAAGTTATGCTTACTGTGTTGTGTGTATTACCTTAGGATTTATGTTTATACAGATTTCCCTAATTGCTTGGTGTTCTCTGCGTTTCAGATGGTAGTTGAAGAGATGAATATATTAACTACAGTCTTTCTGAAGTATGATAACCAGAAGATCATATACCCTAACAGTGTTCTTGCGACCAAGGGAATTGCTAATTATCATCGTAGTCCTGACACGGTTGAATTTATTGATTTCTGTGTTCATATCGCAACTCCTATGGAGAAGGTGGCCACTATGAAAGAAAGACTAAAGAAGTATGCATTCGAACGAATATTTTACTTTTCCTGTTTTTTTTCTCTAATATTTTCGAAACAACACATCCATTCATGTTATGGAATGTTTAGTGTAACGTGTAAAGGCCCTTCGGCCTTTTCTAGGAAGGAAGTACACCCATCATATGATAATCGACTGCATAAAATACGCGTTTTATTGTTGGATCATGTTTATCCAAATTGAATCAGTCTTAATCTGGGCTCTGGCTACTTAACATGTTATGCAGGTATATGAAAAGCAGGAAGGATCACTGGCATGATGATCCGTTGCTGGTCACAAGGGATGTGCTGGATTTGAACAGACTGATGATATCGGTATGGCCGACACACAAGATGAACTATCAGGACATAGAGGAGAGATGGAGGAGGAGAAGCCTTTTGGTCGAAGAGATGATCAAAGTATTCAGAGAGCTCGATATTGAGTACCGGTTACTGCCTATTGACATCAACGTCCGAGCCATGCCAAGTTTAACCTCCGACAGACGTCCTTCAAATTGGACAACCAGTGCCCCGAAGCCAGCAAGTTAATAAACTTCCAAGTACGCTGTTGCCACTTTCAAACTAAGACCTGCAGTACCGGAATGACGGATGAGGGTTCTTCGGAACGAATGATTGATGAGAAATAACAGAAGATGCTTGTAGTTTCAGACACATGT